AAAGTGGAGTCTAGCTGAGAATAGATACGAGAGGATCGTTCGGCGCTCTCCCTCGCCATAGCACTTTGTTTTTTTTCCTTTCTTTCTTTCTTTGCTCTCTAGTCTCCTACATCAGTCTCCACAGTGGTGTTACTAGACTACTGTATGTGGGTGGGACATACATGTTGCATACCAATGACGAGACTGATGATGCTCTTCGCAGCTCTCGCTGTATCACTTCTGTCACTCGCCCTTGTGTGCAGCCCTTGCAGAGAAAAGATTGGGGCGCGCGATCATAAATCAATAGGGAGGGTAAGGTATCATCTTCGTGCGCTTCTGGTGAGCTGAAGGTACGTTCGTCTCTTCTAAACCGCTTGGTGAACGCGCATACCTCAAACCCCCCCTTGTCTCCTTTCGCAAGGGGGAGTGCCTGAAAAAACAGTTCTAACAAACATAAGAGAGTGTCGGGACGCCGTTGTAAAGAATTGAGCCATCGAACGCCGATCAAAAAGTGCTAAAAAAAAACAAAATCGCTCATGGCTCACTTGTTGAAGGTCCTAGACTAAATGTCTCCCACTCCTGCAGGCTAATTAGACAGGGCTACACAAAAAAAAAGGTGCTCCATGGGAAATGGGACCAACGAAGACAAGGAGAGGGTGCGAGGTGAAGGGGTCTTTGTTTCCCAACAGCCCCACATAGAGTTTCGCGGTGGGTGAGCCATGTGTGGTGCACAAAGAACACTTTATTGAACTGAAGAACGCAGGGCCTATTTTCGTGACTCGAAGAGACAGCCCTGGCTCTCACATTCCACTTCACATCTAGACTACTACCCCACGCTTCAATGTGCAGTGATGTGCTACATGGATATTGTTACCCCGCCAAGTCAACACGGTTGCTAGTTCAACTGTGATCAACGTTTGAGCGACGAAAACTCTTCTAAGAATGATGTATCGCAGATGATCGATGATCCTACGTCAAACTTATATCGAGATAGAGCCTCAGGAGATCTAATCGTGCATAGACCAAAGGCCTGGCAGAAATAGCTTCACTGAGAATCAGAGCGGGGGTTTTTTCCTTCGGTCACCAAGGTTGAATCCTGATCCGCTATCTAGCCTCTCCATTGGCCATCGGCCCAAAAAAGGTGGGTGTTGCTGGTAGAGCAAATGTCTGTCTATCAAGGCGAAACAAAAGACTACAAGTGCCACAATCGATAGAGATAAGTTTGATGCGAAGCTGCTCTTTTTGTCTAGGACGGGCTATGGCACAGGAGAGACCATGCAGCGCTGCAACTGTCCGTTACGCCCGCCCATGAGTTACCCAGTTAGTTCAGCACAACGAGCGTCATGCTGGTATCGCTGGCATTTTTTTTGAAGCATTCATATCGCTCTACGGACTCGGAACATTGTTTTTTTGTTGTCACCCCCACAATCCCGTTGGGTGTATGCTGCTCAAAAGAACCGAACCTTCACAAACGACAATTGAAAAACTGCAAAGAGTTGGGCTCGAAGCTCTGTCCTCCATCGATAAGATGCACCTCGCGCTGCATAATGGCCGCTGACTTTTAAAAAGTGAAGGCTTTGTTGTATCTGCTGGTCCATGCAATCCTCTGTTTCGGGGTTTTTTGCGCACTCTAACCCTGGATCGATGAACTCGCGAGAGAAGCAAAGGGCCGTGGGCTTTCGTTAGACGTTATCTGTGTCTTATCAGGATAAGGCGTGACGATCGCTCACGCTCGGGCCGAAAGATGTCATCTCGAACAACAACACGTTTTACCGTACGCAGTGCTAGACAGCAGGTCTCATCAAGTTCTGAGAATACAGCATAGGCGCCAATGGCGCACATACCATGTCTCGCCATCCGCTATCTTCCTGCTTGCAGACGTTTGCCAAGTTGAAATTTTAGTGCACTGGTAGCACGCAGTGGTAGCACATGTAGTAGTACCTGCGATATTAACCCACAATAAGGTTCATAAACATCCTGCTCGTCATCCTCGAAGGCTTTCACGTCTGGGTACGATAGAGCCATGCCCATGTATCCGCCTCTCGTGTTGCTTCTCACGAGCAACAGTGCCTATTGGAGACAGAAGGAGATGTCAAGAATATGGGGTCATGACTCAACTGTTGCAAAGGAACCGGCGCAAAGGAACCGGCGATGCTGAATTCACTGCCACACCCTTACACCACACTCCTCTAGATCCTGCAGATACAGTCAAAAGAAGGGTGTATATCCCATTTGTTTGTACTTAGCACCAGCACATCGAGGGGTTCGAAAGGACAATGACTCTAGAAACTCCTGTCGGCTTGTGGTCGGAGGGTCGCAGCTTACAGCAGCATCTAAAACATCACAGCGAAGGTGTTCCGCGCACTTTTTTTGGTCAGCAATTGATGCTTTTTCGAATTGCACATTCACGGAACGAGAGAAGAGATGGCCGATGCTTTCGGAATGCAAGATGGGCAATTCATATAGAACAGTCTTGCTGTCGGGTCGCGGTATGACTGATAAGAGACGAAGAGCACTCACCTTGCAGCTCTTCACGAGTTCACCTGAAGAGCACGCTGCGCAGCAGCGAGGATAACCTTGGCAAACTGTATTCTACTTGAACAGACAGCACAATAGGAAGCCATATCTTGGGTCCATTACCCTACAGCTTCTCTAAGGTAGAAAGCGCTCCATGATGCGCGAGGCGGCGAGATGGCATTGCATGCGCACGCGGATGCAACAGTAGCGTACAAGAGTGACAGGAAAAAAAAGATGAGATGAGGGCCAAGAGATGCTCCGAGGACCCCGGCCATTCGGTTCTGCTCTCTACTGCTGACCCTCAAATGCTAACGTCTCTCTCTCGAGATGGACAGACACAACGGAGATACAAACCGCGCATTGAGACCGCAATGGACCGGAGATGCACTGAGTGTGTTTTTGCGCCCAGCGAAAAGAAGAAAGGAAAAAAAGAGGAGCACTAGGACGGAATAGGAAGGTGGTCTCCGAGATCGCGTCTGATTGGTATCAGCAGGCAGGCCACGTCGTCATCTCGGCTTTTTTTTTCCTTTTTCACAATGTGTTTTTTTTAGAGTGCTCCCCCCTGCTGCTCTCATCTCCCACAGAGACATACATGTGTGCGCACACTCCCAATCTCCCTTCGCCCTATGTCGCTGTGTGTTTGTCAGCCGGAGAGTGGTTAGCAGTTCCCCGAGTCACCTTTTTTTTGGGTGCACGCCATTTTGTTCTCGGCGCTTCTTCCGTGCGGCCGTGGCCTTGACAAGTATAAAGTGCTGACCTCCTGCCCACTTCTTCCCACTTCTTTTCTTTCACCACTCCTCTCATCCTCTCTCTGTCACACTCACTCTTGCACACGCACTCTCCTCTGCAACTCGCCTCTCTACACCCTTCTCCATCTACACAACCAACCCACATCCACAACCATGTCTTTGGCCAAGCAGAACTTCTCCTCCGCCTCTGAGGAGGCCATCAACCACCAGGTACATGCTCACCCACCTCGGCTCCCTATCCGTCCCTCACTTTCGCACGCACGCATGCACAGACACACTCTCTCTTTTTCACAGTCTGTCGTGTTGGCTCCTTCATCCCATACCAGGTTCGCTGACATCTCTGCCATCTTCCTACGTTCTTCAATACAACGTAAATAGATCAGCCAGGAGCTCCAGGCTTCGCAGGTCTACCTCTCTCTCTCCGCTTGGGCCGGCCATGCCAGCCAGGCTCTGCCCGGCCTCGAGAAGTTCTTCCGCGAAAGTGCTGAGGAGGAGCGCGAGCATGCCCAGAAGCTGATCAACTACCAGAACCGCCGCGGTGGTAAGGTCATCCTCCAGACCCTCCAGGCGCCCGAGTCCGACTGGTCTTCTGCCCGCAACGCCATTGAGTCGACCCTCCAGCTCGAGAAAGGTAATTTTTTGACTTGACCAAGGCTGCGCAATCACACCACAACACACAAACCCCCCCTCATCACACAAACTGACCATTGTATCTACTTATCATGCTCCCAAATTTAGACGTCAACAAGAGTCTGTTGAACCTCCACAAGGTTGCCGAGGAGAACAACGACCCTCAGCTCTGCGACTTTATCGAATCCACCTATCTGGAGGAGCAGGTCGAGGCCATCAAGAAGATTGCAGACTTGGTCACGCAGCTCAACCGTGTCGGAGGCGATGGTCTTGGATTGTACCTCTGGGACCAGAACTTGCTCAAGCAGGAGCACTAAAGCACTTCAAGAAAAAGGTTCCCCCCCTCCACTTGTGTGCCCACCTTTTCTTCATTCGCAACAGTCTCTCTCATCCCCTCACCCCCACCCAACAATTTGTAAATAGCATTATATTCCCCTTACAAAATAAATCTGTATGAACAGCGCACATCCTCCACGCGAGCCGGGTAACTAGCCGTTAGCCCACAACCAGGGGAAGAGCATTTGACTTGACGCACAACCGCCTTCTGTTGCCCTATAATCATTGGATTGGCTCTGTGCAGTGGCAGGGGAGAGTGGGAGGAGGGGCAAGAGGGGACAGAGCTCAGAGATGAATTTCGAATCTGGCTTCTTTTGTTTGGTCCATCCGACATCATTTGTGATGAAGCACCAGGACAATTCAGCTGTACTGTATTGCATTCCCAAAGCGTAGAGCAATGTACCGTGAGTGGAATCGTGGCATCCAGGTGGGTGAGGCTGAAGCGTGCGTGTGTCCGTCGAGGGCGTTCATCGGAAAAAGAGGCCAAAAAAGTCAAGCAACACGGCAATCCCAGGGTACTGTAATCCTAGCCGTCTAGCAGAGACGAGGCTATTCCTGTAGGACAAGGACTGTGCGGATCTGTGAGGGCAAGTGTGGGTAATGTAAGGGACGGCGAAGGCTGTGGGGGTGCAGGGAGAAAGGAGTCGTTCATGGCTGGAGGCCCGAGGGCAGGAAATAAAGACAGTGGAAATAAGGGTCATGGGAGGAAATAAGAACTGGAAATAATGTGTGACGTAGTAGTGGATTTAACCAATGGTTCTTAATTCACCAAGATCTTCGGTTTCACATCCGAAAATAGCTCAGTTGGTAGAGCGGGAGACTGTAGTTTCAAATGTCATCTCTAGGTCCCTGGTTCAAATCCGGGTTTTCGGATCTCTTTTTGCTCTTTTGCTTCCACTATGCGAACGCATTGCGCATGCTTTTTTCTTTTTTTTTTTCCACATGCAGAAAGCGGAATGAGGTTTTCGATGCGATGCTTGATGCCAAAGATTTTATTCTACCAAAAGGTATTATCTAAAAGTTGTCAGAGATCTTGGGCAGCTCAAGCTCCCATCCGATAATGGGTCCGAGCTTGGGCAGAGCCTTGGCCACGGACTCGACATCCTTGTCTCCACGTCCAGACACGGTCACCAGCACGTCCTTGCCGGGTCCCAACTCCTTGGCTGCCTCAATGGCGGCGTAAAGAGCGTGCGAGGACTCTAATGCAGGGATGATACCCTCGGTCTCGCAAAGTGCGCGGAAACCAATCAAGCACTGGCTGTCGTCCACAGGGATGTACTTGGCTCTGCCAGAATCCTTCAACCAGGCGTGCTCAGGTCCGACGCCGGGATAGTCCAAGCCTGCAGAGATAGAGTGCGTCTCCTTGATCTGACCGGTGGTGTTGTCCTGGAGCAAGTAAGTTCTTGTTCCGTGGAAGACACCAATAGTTCCAGCAGCCAGTGTTGCAGAGTGCTCCTCGGTGTGGACACCCGAGCCCGCAGCCTCGGCTCCAATCATCTTCACAGACTTGTCCTCAATGAAAGGATAGAAAAGACCAATGGCATTGCTTCCTCCTCCGACACAGGCGACAATAGCATCAGGCAGACGTCCAGCTTGCTCCAGCATCTGCTCCCTAGCCTCAGTACCGATCACAGACTGGAAATCACGGACAATGGTGGGGAAGGGATGGGGTCCGATGGCGGATCCGACGAGGTAGTGAGTGGTGGTGACATTGGTAACCCAGTCTCTCATAGCCTCGTTGATAGCATCCTTGAGAGTCCTGGCTCCAGAGGTGACGGTGACAACCTTGGCACCCAGGATGCGCATCCTGAACACGTTCAAAGCCTGACGCTGAACATCATCCGCTCCCATGTAGACAATGCACTCGAGACCAAACTTGGCGCAAACTGTCGCAGTGGCGACTCCGTGCTGTCCTGCGCCAGTCTCGGCAATGATTCTCTTCTTTCCAAGTCTCTTTGCGAGCAAGATCTGTCCGATGGCATTGTTGATCTTGTGCGATCCAGTGTGGTTCAGATCCTCACGCTTCAACCAGATCCTTGCTCCACCGGTCCTCTCGGTCAGACGGTCAGCAAGAGTGAGGTTGGAGGGTCTACCAATGTACTGGTAGAATGACTTGTATTCTTCCCAGAAGGAAGGGTCATTCCTAGCCTCAACGTATGCTGCCTCCAACTCGCTCAAGCAGTCGACCAAAGCCTCAGGAACGTACTGGCCACCGAATTCTCCAAAGCGAGGGTCCAACAAGTGAACATGTCCTGGGGTGACAGGAATGCGGGTCTCGGGATGGACAATGCTATATTCTAGATAGATTGGATAATTCATCAAGAATGTCGGTTAGTACACATTTCACTTTTGAGCTTCATATCTTCATATTCTGTGATATCCATGCTGTAAACACTCCATGTGATCCGATGTACTCATACCAGGTGCTCCAGTGCGATCGCTCACATCCTTGGCGTATTTGTATGCAGCCTCAGCACGAGCTCCTGGTGCTGTTGTGTGCAAAGAAATGAGTACCGTGAGTAACAAATAAGGGCGACGGGGGTGTTGGTAGGTTTCATTTCGCAAGGCACGCTCTCATACCAGAGTCGCGAAGAACAGTAATGATCTTGCTTCCAATTACTACACCGTCAGCGTGTGCTCCAACAGCCTGGAACTGCTCGCGGTTCGAGACGCCGAATCCAACAGCCAAGGGCAGATTGGTGTGGCGACGAATGCGCGCTACAAGGTTGGGAAGCTCGACGTTGACAGTGCTGGAGGCTCCCGTGACACCAAGCTTGGAAACGACATAGATAAAGCTGTCTGCAACCTGTGCCAGATGACCAATACGCATGTCAGAGGTGGAGGGTGCGATCAAAGGCACATACGAGAGTCTACGTACGTAGTGAAGAAAACATTGTGTCAGGATGAGGTATGACCACGGTCTGACCACAGTCTGGCTGCACATTGTCGAGACACGTACCCGTATTGTGTGCAGTAGCCTCGGAAGACAGCGCTCTCCTCTGGGGGCAGCTCGACAACAATAAAGCCGTTGACGCCAGCCTCTTGGCAATCCTTGACGATCCGCTCCTCGCCGTAGCAGCGAATAGGGTTAAAGTATCCCATAAAGATGACGGGCGCCTTGAGACCCTTGGCTCTGGCTTCCCGGACCATGTTCAAGCACATAGGGATGTCGACGTTATGTCCAAGAGCAACCTAATATGTCCAGAACGCACAGCATGAGAAACTTTTCCTCGCAGCTGTCTCTAGGCATTGAATGAATGCATATATACTACATACCTGACTAGACTCCTGAATGGTAGGTCCGTCAGCGAGAGGGTCAGTGAACGGCACTCCAAGCTCGATAATGTCGGCACCGCCCTTCTCCAGTGAGAGCATAACGTCGACAGTGTCGCTGGGCTCGGGGTATCCGGCAGTGATGAACGCCACGAAGGCGGGACGCTCTACGTGGTGGGCAATGGGGCAAGACATGGGTACAGAGAGAATTAGCTTCGAGAGGAGAGTGCGTGGTAAGCCATGGTAGTCGGCAGATCGGATGCAGCAGGCCGAGGCCCTTACTTTGGTCCTTGCAATCGCTAAAGACTTGACGCAGATGGGCAGACATGATGTAGTTGTAGAGTGGAAAGGAACAAAGGGAAGGACGAGACTGAGAGGCAGGAAGGCAACAAAGATATATATATGAAAACAGCGGGCTGATAAATAATGAACCGCACAGTTGTTGAGTCACGGAAATGTTTGATCGATTGCACCCACTACGTGTGGCATACTCAGTCTGCGCGCAGTGACCAGCGCCACGTACACATGGTACCTTCCCTACCCTACCCTGCCCCTATCCTACTCACACAGCTTCGACAAGACCTCCCCAGTGTATGGAGAAACAAAGTCTTGTAGACGATGGCCACGATGAGACACGATGCAGCTATTATACTGGGCATAGGCAAGACCCAACAATTCATGACTCAACGTTCAGTCATCATGGCACAGAGGAGGCGCCCTGGTAGAACACTGCCAGCACCTATCTCATGGCCGCAAGCGGCGTTCGGACCAATTGCGCGTTCTCTTCTATAGCGTACAGGAGTGGGCTGCAAACATTTTATTGTGGTACTTGAGCCGTGTGGCACATTACGGTGCTCTAGGACTTAAAGAATCGACCCAAAACTTTCTTTTCCTGTTCCTGATCCTGGGGGTAGGGTGTCCTGGGTAAGGAGCCGGCCTTGGCCTCGGAAATGTCTTTTCCTAGCAGAGCTGCAGTTCGAAAGAAACACTTAGCAACGTTTTCGATGCGCAAGAGGGCGTTTACACTGTGGGACTCCATGCACAGGGTACAAAGAACCGTACCTGGAAGGAACTGGATGCTGCGGGCACCCTCTGGAAGATCGATAAAGCCTGGCGAAGGCCGCTTCTTGACAGACTGAGCTTTATTCTTTAGACATGAGGATGCCTGGCTGTGGGACGGCCGCCGCTCCTGGGATAGCTTAATGGATTTCTTGGGCCGAACATGTTCTGGCGTGCTTGCTATTGCAGAGCTGGAGGGTGATAGTGGCAACGAACGTGGTAGTGGGGCTGCGCGTTTGATATCTAATGCCATGATCTTTACACTGGAGGGAGGTTGCATGCTTCAGTGCTGGATCCTGAATCAAAGCCTAGAGTGCAGGCGGAGTTGAGGCTATGCTTACCTGGATGACGGCTACTGGTGGTAGGTGCAAGGCGATGGTAAATGGCTGGTGTGTGAGGAAAGGATGAGAGAGAAGGCAGGACAGACAGGACATTTTTATGTATTCTCCGAGCTTCCTGGCTGTACTGTACCTTGTTGTTTTCTGATGATGTCAATGGCGTGGAAAACACGCTACAACGCAGATGAAAAAGGACGTGGTGGTCTGGGCACTCCCTTTCCCCTTTCTCCCGCGTGCGTCATGTCCCCTCTTGTCCCTGATAGATTGTCGGGTGATGTAGCTAATGCGCACCATGCCATGTTCGGGCCGTCATCGCCGTCTTGTTCTGTGGTGTAGTTGGAGATAGAACGATCGCCGAGCCAACAGTGGTGGTTTTGGTTATAATAGTCGAAGTGGTCGCGCTCGATAGTCTATGTGGGATTGCGTTCGGGCCTTTGCCTTATTCACACCACGCAGAGGAACAGCAGCGGAGAAATGCCCCAACAGCCCTGCCCGTTGGGCATGCTCACTGCGGTACTTGTGTGGTGAAAAGCTTTTCCGTGCTGCAACACTCCTCTGTGGTCTTGGTCGGAGCGGGGCGCGGAGGACGAAGTGGCAGCTGGAAAGGGCAAAAGACAAAGGCAAAAGGCAGGCAGCATGGCGTGGGCACATTCCCAAAAAGCAGTCGTGGCGACTTTTTTGACTCTGCACGGCCGTTCTCTCCTCATTGCCTCCGACCATTGAATCCCCAACACCTTGTCGCCGCGACGCTTCCCTAGCCCACATCCGCCTTTGACATCCACCGCCCCATCCACCGCCTCGTTTATTGCCTCGCGCCCAACCGTTTCGTCCCCACTAACTTCACAATGATCTCCGCCGTCCGCTCAAAACCAATGGCCCGCCCCATGATCGCGCTCTGCCGAGCCTTCAAGCCGCTTTCGACTCCTGCAGCCCGGGCCACCCGTCGCCACCTGTCCATCAACGCTCTTTCTGCCACGACCGCCACCTCTCACCGTCTGAGGTATACACGCGTCTTTACAGCTTGCCAACAGACGCGAAATATTCGCACGGACATTGACAGTTGACAGGAGGATTGATTCCATGTGCCTCACGAAGCTGATCAGCTATCCCTCTTTTCGTTGTTCACGTAGCTCCCCATACCGTACGCAGGTCAGATGCTATGGTACGTTTGTGCGCGAGTAAAAAAAGTGGGGAGAGTATCGA